TAATATGTAAAGCAGGATTGTTAGTTTTGTAATAGATGTCGGTTCAGGCTGATGAAGTATAAATTAACGGGTTGACACGGACTTAGTAAAAGATTCGTTAGGACTTGCTTTGGTTCCCTCACCAGGGAGGCATAGAGTTCCTGGCACTTAAAGAGCCAAGATTCTGGACTTTCCAGAATAGATTATTTTGTCGTTGTTTTACTCTTAAATAAAAGGATTTAATGCGTTCTATGAAAGCAATAAGGTGAAGAAGCATCTGAACTAATAAGTAGATGACATTTGCAAGAATATCATTTAAATAAAATTCTAGTTAGATGATATTCCACTCCTTTACACTGCCTATCGTAAGGTGCATTTAATTGTGTCAAGCAGTCGATTGTTGTGTTTCCCAATTTGTCTGGCTGAAGGACCAACAATCTTAAAGTGAAAAATTGCATATCACATAAACCGGTTTCACTAAGTCTTCACATATTTCAATTTTACTATTAGCTGAGGCAGATAGTTCTCAGAGGCCTCGTTATATTAAAGGTAGAAAAACTTTAATTCATAAAAGGAAAGACTAAACAGTTAGGCCACAATTATTTGTTTAAAATGAAAAAGTGTACTTAAGCATAGATAAATAGCTCGTTAAACTCTTTGATGTCAGAGTGCTGAATAATTATATACTTACAAGCCCAGAATAAATGAGAAAGAAGCAAGTTAAAATACTCGAGGTTTTAGTCCAATTAAAAACAGTAAAAACCTAATAAAAATCTTGCCACAAGCAAATCGGACAGACATTGCAGAATTCGGCTAATCTGACACATTAAGATGCCTGATGAATTCTATTTTACAGTTTGGTATGACTCAGGTTTTCCACCGTACACTTGCTGCAATCTTACTCTGCTGTATGTGGTGCAGGTGAGGATAAATTATGCATAGACTATGAACAGATGGGAGCGGTATACATTGTTATGTGGTTGAGATTAAGATGCGGGCTATGTGCAGAGAAGTGAGGGGGTCCAAGAAGGAGGCCATGGCGCGAACCGGGCGGCTAAAATTGTATGCTGAGAATTGTGCATACGCGTAAGTGGTACTACAATCAATTGCTGTGTAGATGCGCGGCGTTGATTCAAAGTAATTCAGGGCAAAATTCTTTTATGTCTTTCGAGCAAATAAAGTCTTGTTATCGAGGAGTTGGCCAAATGGTCGTTGGAGGATCTAGTTTGGGTTTCGACACTGAGTGAGCATGGTCCCTCTTAGGCGGAGCGTTAACTGTCTTGACAACGATGCTGAGAAGAGTCACGAAAAGAGTGATATAGAAAAGTGATTTACGAAGAAACTGGACGCGACATTTGTCCTCCCAGTATAGGCTGACTTGGCAGAGGTTAGCATTCTGTAACGAGGGAAACGTTATGGCCCTCGGAGAGCCGAACATTGGCATTTTCTGAAGGCAATCCT